TATATATATATATATATATATATATATATATATGTGTATATATATATATATATATGTGTATATATATATATATGTATATATGTATATGTATATATATATATGTATGTATATATGTGTGTGTGTATAGGTTAACTATACGAGTAAATTATTATTTTAGAGGAAGTCCTGAAGTCTTCCTCTAATAGGAAATGCAGTACAATGTGGCATAAAAACTTTTGACTTTGTTACACCTGCATTTGGTTTTTCCTCAGCTCTTGACACTAGTGGCTTATCATTGTCTTTCTGTCAAAGATGGGCAGTTCTTTAGTAGCTCAGACCAAAGAAAAAAAATATTTTATTTATGAGTCCTCAGCAATTTGCCGCTGTGGGCAACCTCATGGTTTTTTTTTTTTTTTCTCAGTCTGGCCTAGTGTTATCTCTTAGTTGTTGTTGGGGCTTCTGCTGGTCTGCAAAGTCCAACAGATGCAGGAAGCCAAAGATCAGCTGTCACAGTCACGACACAGTTTTGTCCTCGTTAGCTGGCAAGAAGTTCTTGTAAATGAAACCGCAGTGACAGCCTGGAGGTATGACTAGAGGGCTCAAAAGGAGGAAGTGGGTTCCTGCATCAAGGCTGTGTTGCAAGAGTGTCACAGTGAGTTTTAGGGCTGGTCTCAGAGCACTTGTGAGCTGACACTGGAATGCTGAGTTGATAATTCACAGAAAAAAAATGGTCTTTAAGTTACTTAAAACTGGTCTTTGTGGTCATTTATGGCCTCATAAAAGTTCAACAGTCTGCTTAGAATATGACCAAAGATTGAATTGGACATTACAAGTACACAGTCATTTGCTGACATCTCATTATATAGTGTTGAGCCTTCAGTAGTCGCCAAAACTGTCTCTTCAGTTAATTAGTTCATTATTTAGTTAATATATATGTATTCCTTTAAGAACAAAGCAACACACACCAAACTGATCATGCACACTACTTTTTACTGCCCAAACTTTTCAGATCAGTTGGAACACAAAGGCTCATTTTCACATTAGCATGTAATTGGTTTTCTTTTGGAGAACACCTCTGCTCATAGTTTACATTCCAGCATACCCCTCTTGGTGTACCAGGAGTCAATGGTTTTTATTGAGTGAATGTGGTTCCAACATGTCATCAGGCTTCATGTTCACATCAGGCACCTCCCCTGAGAAGAGAACAGACAAGAACGTGTAGCTCAGAGGTCTCAAACTCAATTCCTGGAGGGCCACAGCTCTGCAGAGTTTAGCTCCAACCAGCTCCAACTCACACCTGCTTGGAAGTTTCTAGTAATCCTGAAGACCTTGATTAGCTGGATCAGGTGTGTTTGATGTGCAGAGCTGTGGCCCTCCAGGAATTGAGTTTGAGACCACTGGTGTAGCTGTTTGTACTTTTGGGTGAGTCACTCACCAGTGAAATCCAGCAAAGAGAGGAAGTCATACCTGTCAACCCTCCCGTTTTTCCTGGGATTCTCCCGTATTTTACCATTCTATCCCACTATCATCCCGTTTAAATATTTTCCCGTATTTCTCACGTATTTTTAATCTTTCTATAAAAAAAAATCCCACTGAGCATATTTTATGTTTGTTACATTCGCTTCCGGTAAAACTCCTGTAATTTGTATGGGCCAAACCTCATTAAATGAATAATCACGTCAACAAATTCCAAGGTTGCCCAGTTGCCAGATCTTGTATGAAACACATCTTTCTCACACGATCGACGCATACAAATTTCAACCCATTTGTCCCCTCAGCTTGGCAACCTACAGTCCAGTGATGCTATTGATATCTGCGCAGGGAGTACCGCGGGAAGGAAACAATGATCACTGGTAGAAATGGGAGGAGAAGACTCAGGTGGTGCTCCAGTGAAAAAAAACTAAATGTACATGTAAATTGAGATATAGCTTACGCTTCAAAAGGCTATTTAATTGATTAAATATGAGTGCTGCAAGTTGAATTAGCATTTTTCAGTAAGCCCTTCTGCTCTTTGTTTAGACCAAAGCCAAAAACGACCCTTATTTTTACGCAGAAAACACGCAGTTGTAAATATGAACTGGTGGATCAACAAGAAGATAATGAATTATAAAACCCTAAAGATATAGCCTACACTAAGATATATTTATGTTACTAAATGAATATAATTGTTTGATAATAATTGTTTAAATTTAATATAAAAATAATATAATATAAAATTTTTTACTTTTGACTCGTCCGCTTCCTGTATTTTGGTACCCAAATGTTGACAGGTATGGAGGAAGTGGAGAAATCATTCATCAGCGGATGGCTGCCATTGTATTCTTTCATACTTAGAAAGCTGTTGCAGGGGTATACGTTCAACTTAATCCTTTGTCGGTGCTTTAGAGCAGTTGTAAAGGCCTATACTGTATGTCTCAGAAGGTAATGGCAACTATATTGGGCCATCTCATGACTAAAATGCATGTGGTTCACTTGTGAAGAAAACCACCTCCATCTGAGTGAGTGCTCAATCGTAAGGACAGTCCCATCAAATGCAAGTTTTCCCCAATTAGTCACTTGCTCCCCTGTTACTCACCCCACTTCAAACAGGAAGGGGGGGAGTGGTTATTTAAAGGATCCTGTCTTCTTGTTGACTGAAGCCAAATGACTTAGCATCTTATGTTTACATTTGTCACTGTAGTTAGGTCAAAGCAAGTTCATGTTATGCATCAAGAGTGCCCCCAAAAGACAAAATAGTGTCATCAGCAGTGTTGGGACAGTCACATTCATGGTCATTATTGAGCCTTGTTTATTCCATTGAGGTTACAGCTCAATCTAATTACAAGCCTTTTATATATATAATAAGGCTTCAAATTAATGTTTTTATACACGTGTTTGTGGTTGCAAATTGGCTAATGACAGGTCCAACATTTAACTATGTATACTCAGACCACTTCTGATTTGACAGATTGCTATAAAACATACTCACAATTACACTTCGCTAGGAGGAAAGTGCCTTATGCTGGACTGTCTCTGTGAAGTGATCTGAGTGACCCATTTTTCAACTCAAGTGTTCCTGCATTCAGCCTCATAGCTTTTAGGATTTCAGCTTGCATAGCCAAGGCCAAACCATGTCCTGGAGGTCGCAGAGCTTAACTGATGCTAGATTTTGTACAATCAGAACTGGCTTAAATGTATAACGTAAACATTCGGATGAATAATAGCAGAGTTTGAACACATTTAGTACCTTATCTCCAGTAAATCATTTTTTAGAACTTTTATCTGAATGGTTAATCAAGAATATTAGCCCCAGCACCCTGTGTCTTCACATGATGATATTTAGATCTTGTCAGTCAAAACATATAGTCACATGAAGCCACTTGAGAGGATGCAATTTGTCACTCCAGTTAAATGAATATTAAGATCTGAATACCTCAAGTACTGCTAACTGATTCAGACACACAAATTATTTAGGTTGATGATTTTGCTTCTTTTACAGGAATGGGAGCTGGTTGTCCTGGGCAAATTGAAGTGGAATCTGGCTGCTGTCACTCCCAATGACTTTATTGAGCACATTATGAGGAAACTTCCGCTGCCTGAGGATAAGCTGGACCTGATCCGTAAACATGTGCAGACTTTCATTGCCCTTTGTGCAACAGGTGGTGTATCCAATGTAGATGATTGATGTTTATAAATATATAAATGACCGCTTTTTTGTGTAGTGCGACACAGAACCTAATGAATATTCTCTAAACATGCATTTGTTATACTTAGTAAAGTAGCCAGTGTTTTTCACAATCTAGAAATTAGGTTTATAATTAGCTACTGTTTTCATGACTAGTCCGTAAAATGAAAGAAAAAAAAGAAAGATAGTGTTTGCCAACTTGTGTATTTGTCTTCCATTCATGTTTTTAAGTATGAGTGATAAAAGATCCACTGCCTAGTTAAGTTGGTGTTGATGTCTTGGAGCATCATTTCAATAAGTGATGTGTTGCAAAGCATCCACATTTTTTCCTTGCAAAACTGAAATCAAAGCCGACTTTTGTGGGTTTAGTACCTATGGCAACTTTATTCAGGTTGCTGTTGCAGGCAAATTATCAGATGCCATCTCATTACATTCATGAGAAACTATGTGGACTGAAATAGCGATGTGTAATGGAGAGAATTTCTCTGGAAGCCTTATGTGCTTGCCTGGTACGTTTGGCGGGCATATCAGTGACTAGTCCTGAATGCAGTGACACTTCAAAGGGCAGTTGTATAGTTAAGGACATTCCTGTGTGCTGGTGAGCCAGTGGTTATAACATTCCTGCTCTTAGAGGTGGACCACCTTTAGGAGATCAAACATGGAGATGAGAGGAGGGTGAGAAAACGTGAGGAGTGTATTGTTCTAGCTGAGCCAAATAGTGAAGCATGTCATGTTTTCATATCTTATCCCCTCTTCTCACGCCTCCCAGATGCTCCAGGGCATGACGACTTTCCCATAATCAGGAGCCTTTGTGGGGCTGGTTCTCCCAGCCAAGCCTGCACCCAACATCACCATAGGCGGTAATGGGATCCAGTGCACCACCCTTGTTCCCTCAGGCTTTTCTCTTCCTCCCTGGGGTTGCTCAGCTCCCCAGGAACCTCAGGAGTGACTCTGACTTTGGGAAAGTGGGATATGAGGGGAGGGGGATTAGTAGGAGGAGCTGGCAGGTCTTTAAACATGGAGCTTTTGATTCTCCTGTTGGTTTGTGCAATAGATATAGATTTCTTGTGAAACTGCTCTGGCATAAACAGAATCCATGAAAACTGGTTTGAATCATTGGTTAAGAATCTCTTGTACTTGACAGTTTAAGCATTGATGATAACTGGAATAATATAAATAATTTAGCTGTATAACTTGGTTTTTAGATGCCGAAAAATTCAGAAGCTAGTGAAACATGCCTCTGTTGTTATATACACAAACTAGTTACTAGTTTAACAACAGGGATTCAAGGGGCATCCAAAAGATTTTAATTGCTGGGCAGATGCCTTGACTGATGTTTTGCTTTCCTCTCTACAGTTTGCTTTTTTTGCAGAGAATTCAGCGTCTTCTTCATTTCTGAGACATGCATAAATCAAGGCCCCTGTATCTGAATGATAAAGGAAGAGAAGAGTGTGGAAAGACGACAGCTAATTTTTAATGGTTCTTCGCTTTTGATAAAACAGTTCTGTTCAGAGCACTCGGCAAGATTTGGTTAGACAGAGTGGAGCAGTTGAGTATTTATTAATAACATGGAGGGGCCTTTAAGAGATATGCAAATGACTGGAAGGCTCGGCTAGAGACCACAAGAAAGGAGACAAAAGGAACAACCCTCCATTTCATATGCAGAGGCATGTAAGGGTCAATGCAGAAAGAGCACCCGATAAAACATTTCTCCAGAGGGCAGTCTGCCAAAGGCCTGCACAGGAACAAGCTCATTAAAAGCAATTATACCCCATTCTTACTATTAAACACCCAGCACCCCCTACTTCTCCGTCGTAGATTGTCTGTAGATGTATATGAACATACTTGAGAAACACTATGATATTAGATAATCTTGCCACTCTTCAGATGTTTACTTATCAGAGAAATCCCTTAGGAAAAATAGATAACTAGAGACCGGTGGAGAGTTCAGCAGGGCTGAAAATTAAATCTACCAATTCATGTCATTTCTCATTCAAGAGGCTCTGTTTCCTCCCACACCGGCCTGACTGCTGTTGCTCAAGACTCTGCACTGGAGCAAGACTGAAACAAGTTGTTACAGGATTTTAACAGTCAAAGAGGGTTCCTGTTTTTAATTAATCTGTTTTACTATGGTTTGACAGGGCAGACCAACACGCCGCTTTTGATGATACCATTTTTAAAAAATGACAATAGATGTTTAATGTAATACAATTCTGTGGAGTAATGTTATACATAAATGTCCCAGACATCCAATTATTTAAAGTCTCAAAATGAGACACGATATAACTAGTTATTAAAAATCCTTTTAAATTCTATGTTGTAGCTTTAACAAATTGTATAAAAATAGCCAATTAGCATTTATTTGAACATTTGTGTTACAGGTTTACTCTATTATTCTGTTAATTCTGTGACTTTAGGATCTTAATTTACATGCTTTACCTGACTTTCCATTTGACTGAGTGTTAAACTATGATGCCAAATTCATGTTTACGTTTGATCTTTGTCAGTCCGGTCGAACATGGCTGCTTGAAACAAGACTTTCTGTTAATGCAAACCTGTGAATCTGCATGGAAGTCTGGCACTTGATTTATTGCCCCTCAAATCATCTGCCTCTTTGGCTGTTCCTCAACTTTCCGGATGCTTAATTAATTTACAAGTTAAATGCATATACAGCACATTGCACCCACCAAGGAGCTTGCTGTGTTGGCACAGGTCTGGGGATGCAGTGTGGCGAGGGCAGGAGAATGGTCCATTGAAGGGGGTGAGAGGCTGGTATACCAGGCCAGCCAGCCGCCGCTTACTAGGAGCCTTCCATCACAGGCGTCCCCACTCAGCTACATACACTGTTTATCCTCTGCATGAATATCAATGAAGGCGCGTAGAATACAGCCATTCTTCCCTTACCACTCTCACAAACCAGAGCGTCCAGCTTTGCCGCTAGCATGCGCATACTCTTGTTCCCTCTACAAACTTGTCTTGTCTAGAGTGTGAAAAATCAGATTGCAACCCACTCAGCACACACAAGCTGTGTGTGGGCACCCAATTTCCACTGTATGTTTTTTTTTTTTCCCTGCTGCAAAAGACCCAAAGAGTTCCAATGCAGTTTGTTTTCTATCGTATATTCGACCAGAACTATTAATACATTTTTCTCTGGCCCGGAATCAACTGCAAAGGGAAGAGTGTATAATAAGTTAATTTATTTGTCAACACTGAGCTGCACTGAGCTTGAATGTTAAGAAGGCAATGAAGGCATGCTCGTCAGTTATCAAAGGCCCCACGGCTTTGATTTTTTTTTTTTTCTAAAAAGAAAAGAGAAGAAAAATCACCCTTAGAGCCATCACGCACAGTTTGCTTTGCAACTGAATATGGCAATATGGTAATGCAAAGACTGCCAGGGATTGTGGGACCATGAGCCCAGAGGTGGCCCTGCATCAGAGGAATGGCATGGGGGGGGGGGAATGAGGTGGGTAGCAGGGTCTTTTCTGCTGCCAAAACCTTACGAAGGTCTGGACACTGGCTAAAGAATGATGCTTAGTGCCCCCCTTCAGCTACCCCTGCTGTCTAAAACCTTACAACACCCTCCCCCAACACCCATCTTTTGTGCTGGCTATAAGGTTGAATAGGAATCCACAGAGAGGGCTTGATGTTGAATCTCTCAATTGGATGAAATAAGGTGATGATTTCAGACAATGGGGCCACACTCTCTTGCTCACTAGACCCAGGTCCATCAGTGGCCACACTCAATTAATATGCTAAAAGATAGATTTGATGATACAAAGCCAGAGCTGTTGTAACAACAAAGCTAGAGCATGTGTGCCATTCAACCTTAGGGGTATGTGTCTGAAAAAAAGTGTTGAAAAACAGTCTGAAAAAGCAAGAGGGGGAGCCGCAGAAAAAGAAAAAAGACAGAAATCAATGAGGCAGGGGGCAGACAGCCTAAGATGTTCGTTTCTTTCTCTTTTCCTCGTTCTTTCTCCCCCTCTTGCAGTCAGTCGTCTTTTTGGGCTTCAGGCCCGTTCACAAGCTGTCTTATTTGCATTATGAATGACAGTGAGAAAGCTAACAAGGTTATTGGTCTTTGAGATGTACGCCTGTGACCACACGTGGAAAAAGGACCTACAGCAGTGAGCACTGGCAGGGGGACTGTGGCTCTTTATTCCATCCTTTCCGAAGGCTATAGGGCTTTTTTTCTGGGAGCACACGATTTACTTAGGAGCTGGAAGAAAAGGGGCCGATCTGCAAAGGGTGACTGGAGGAGAGGGGTGGGGGTGGGGGTGCTTTTCAGATTCTTTTCAAGCCAAGTGAACGCTCATTATCCTGGGCTGCAGTCATTAGCAAAGGACTGTGCACAGACCTAATGGAAAGGGCTTTATTTATTAGTATTTCAGATTTTTAATTTTTGTATCCATTTCATAATATTTTATATAACTATTCAAAATACTGTAGAAAAGTCTGATAAAGTACTTTTTTTTTTAACTCCGAGCGAGACAGATCTTAATGCCTGGTTTGCTCTTTCCTCAGATTTCACTTTCGCCATGTACCCTCCATCCATGATTGCAACGGGCAGCGTGGCAGCGGCTATCTGTGGCCTGCAGCTTAACAGCACTAACCGCTCACTGTGGGGAGACAACCTAACAGAATTACTCGCCAAGATCACAAACACAGAAGTTGTGAGTATTGGTGTTTTGACAATAAATTTTACTAATGAAACTTTTAATAAATCATTATGATACAAGGTATTTCCCTGCAGGCATATATGCTACATAGGTCACCTCACAGTCTGTATATATTTGAAAGTGGGAGCGCTCTGTAATTTAAAACAGAGACCCTGATAAAAGGATTCTTCATTTTTGTTTGCTGAAAGGATGGTACAGTAACACTATTGGTAATCTGTGTAATCGAGTGTTGCTGTGCCTGTAGGACTGTGAGAGCAGGCTGTGCATTTCCTTTATTTACTCAATGGGCTTGAGTCCAGCTCCAATTCAATTTCGCATTCAGCCACTGAATTACTGGAAGTGAAATGGGATTGACCCTGACTGAGAGACTGCAAGGAAAGAATCTGCAGGGCTAGGAGAATATGTCAGGGATACTATGGCTTTATGGATATGACTTGCATACAAATTCATACCTACTGTCACACAAGGGACCACCTCATGATCATTTACTTTTGTTTAGGTCCTTTATGGCGCTTTTCCACTGCGTGGTACGACTCGGCTCGGCACGGCTCAGTACGGCACGGCACGGTTCGTCTCGGCACGGTTTGCGTTTCCACTGCAGTTCAGTACCACTTTAGAGTGGGCGGGATTATTCACATGTCGTTATAGTTGCGCCGCCTGTACTACCACTACTCCTAAAAAAAACTTTTTCATTCTGCGTCGCCCCATCAAGCTCTCGCTGGATCCGCTCCTCTGCTATCAACGAGAGGAACGTCTGTTCTTCCACAACAGACAACAAAACTTTTTGGTTGTTAAAAAAAAGGTGCGCTCGTTCAAACCAGTTGCGTTCGATCCTTCGCTGGCTGTGCTGATTTAAATCTAGTGGTTCTGTTGTGTTTGTGTCGCAAGTTCAGTGACGCAGGTAGAGATGATTCTCTCCGGCCAATCCGCGATCAGCAGAGTTTACACGTCACCTTTTGGTAACGGTACGGTTCACTTGGAACCCCAACCGAGGTGGTACTAAAAAAAGTACCAGGTACCAGGTACTGTACCCAGTGGATACCCCCCAAAAAGTGAACCGTACCATGCCGTACCATGCAGTGGAAAAGGACCATTAGTTTCTCTTTAGTGGGAAAAATAAAAGCAAAAGAGAATAGAAAATTAGGATTAAGGAAACATTTCATTCCTGCCCTGACCTGAAGAGGTCAACCCTCCCCAAGAGACCCTAGAGTGCACTGCTGCTGGTAGAATGCCTGCTGCCCCAGCATGTGGTGTGTGAAGTCGTGCACCATAGCAGAGGAAAAACAAATAGTCCTCCACAGAAGTAAAGGTGCTCAGTGTCTGAGGAGTGTGAGGTCCAGGGCAGAAGGAATGAACTGCCTGGTCCATGAACAACTCATCACATTGCTGGATGCCAACAAGCCATACCTTTTGAAAACATGCAGGTATGATGTATACGCGCTACCCTGCTCACCCTGAGCTATACCTTAAAGAAAACATAAAGGGATAGCTCACACAGCATGAACATTTTGTCATCCTTTACTCACCCTTATGTTGATTCAAACTTGTATGACTTTCTTTCTACCGTGGAACATAAAAGAAGAAATTTTGAGAAAAGTCTTAGTGTTTTTCGTCCATACCATGGAAGTCAGTGGTAATCAAAATTGCTTGGTTACCATCATTCTTTAAAATATCTTCTATTGTGCTCCACAAAAGAAAGTCAGGTAGGTTTGGAATGACATAAAGGTAAGTAAATTATGATGATTATGATGCAAACATACCGCAGTTCCAAAACAAAAAATTTAGTGTGAATAATTCAATGGGAGCAGGGGGCTGTGGTGCAGTCGAACATGGTTCAGACCAAGGAATTGAATAAATGAACTGTAAAAGCACTCTTAGATTAAATTGGTCACTGAATTTGTTTGGGACAAATAATTCACTTTACCAATCAGAATTGTGTTTGCATTATTGTGCTGAGAAAATCTTAGAGGTCCTATCTAAATGGAATTGGTTGACCATTTGGTAAATCAGAGAGATATCTATATCAGGAGTAAATTAGAAAAACCCAGTCTTCAATAAACAAGATTTTGTCTACTTAACTTTACCTTAGTGTATGAGGACCTTACAGATTGAGGCAGAGGTTGGGAGGTGAGCGGTCGGACAGTATGAAGGAAAGTCAATCTAATGCCAAACGATACTGCCAGCCTGCCCACCAGGAACCTTACTGACATTTGTGGTGTCCAATGCCTGTAGTTTCCAGTAGACATATGATAGGGGCAGCCAGCATCTTCCAGTCGCCCTTGTAGCCTAAGATACACCTGGTGAAGCATACTCTGTGTAGCAGTAAGGTACACACATGCATGCCAAACCAGGAAGGCTGAACCATTGGCTTGAAGTTTCCACAAATACTCTAAGGTCCCTCTAAGAAAGAAGCAAAAGGCAATAAATATTCACCTGGCACTGGGTTTTTACAGTAAAGTTTGTTACTGTAGCTATAGTAAATACAGTAAATGATGCTCATTGGGCTGTTGTTTTCAGGTTTTTTTTTAATGAGGCCTTGAATGATTTGTTTATTTTGAGGCATGAATTTGGTGTGCTTGTGCACCTCTAGAATATTTATAATATAGCTTTACAAAGGTAAAGCTCTGCATATAGAGAAACTATTCAGGAAGAGAGAATGCACAGTAAAAACTCTTTTGAGATACCGCAGTTTCTAAAAGTAGGTGAAATGTTAGAAACTTTGGGTCTGGCATGCTGAGAATGCTCCTTTGCCTAAAGTCATAATGTCATGAGGACTCTGTTATTTTCAACCGAAATGTTATTTGGAACTGAAAGGTTGCAAATGATTTAGAGAAGAACTTCAAGGCTTTTTTGGTACACAGGATCATGTGTTAGGCCCCCTGGCCTCTTGCATTAGGCCTCTGGGACATCTTAATCCCGTTCATTTCTCAATGCTGTGATGGCCGTGCTCTGAACCCGGCAATCCTTGCTTTCACTTCCCAATAAAAAACACACATTTTCTGTGGCTACTTTAAGTCTCTCCTTTAGGCTTCTTTTGTCCAAGATGGCACACACTGAGTGACATTACACTCTGCCGGTTCTCCAGTAGAGCTGCATTTTCCTTTTGGTTTTGATCCATTTTCATTAACTTGTTTGACTCTAACAAACGTAGCCATGTTCTGTGTGTTCAGTGTGTTCTTGATCAGGGAGGGGTTGGATTAGGCAGCGACCACCCACTTTATCTTGAAGCTCACCAGTGCCACCCTTCTCTGGATCTAATAATTGAGAAGCTCTTCTAGAGTCCTAAAAGTCCTGGTTTTACCAGTAGTCACACATTGAAGCTATTAAGAGTTGCCTGAATTAAGCCTTTGGGGCTTGGCATGAGCTTGGTTGTGCAGCTAAAAAGAGCAGTACACAGGGAAATGTCTTTTAAGAAGTCAGGCCTGGCATTCTTGTGGTAAGACACAGGCAGTTCCTTTACATGTTTTATGCTTTAGTTAATTTTCTAGAAGGAATTAATTTTCCATGACTAATAATGGCTCATCGTGGTGGGAAACAGGAGACCTCTAGAAGGATGGTGCCCATTGTCATCCATGATAACACACCAAAGAAAACATCCTCTGAGTGACACTAGGCTCATCCTCAAAAAAAAAAAAAGATGAAATGCTTTCTGTCAAGAAACAGATGTTTTTCTTGTGTGATACACTACTTCTACAGGCATGAAACACATGGCCCAGGAGCCATGCATAACATAAGTTTAGACTTTGGCCCATCAGCTTTTAATCAGCAGTAAATGTCAAAGGAATGCAGTCTCTCCACAAGCAACACATTCTCCACAGGCCCTACCCATGGGCCATTCTCAAACTTCCCACAGACGCCTGGTGTGCCTCAGACATACCCACTAAACAGGAGGGAGAGCTTTGATCACTATGCATCCATTTACTTTCACTAGAGGGCATTATTGCTCATTTTGGTGACAGTGTGAAAGCCATTTTAAATATGTCATGTGCTCTTTGGAGCCACCCACAGGCTTGCATTGGGTATTTCTCATATTTTATCTAAAAAAAAATTTGTTCTTAGCTCTACAGAGCAGGAAGAACCCTCTGGTGGGCTCAAGTGAGATCCCCTTAGGTCATTACATGCTATTGTGAAAATGAAAGGGTATGAAAATCGTAAACGAAAAACTGCCTTGTTTTATCCACAGGACATGGATGTAATACAGCGAACTGTGGTACAGCTATTGTTTTAGTTTTTTTAACTGTTCACAGTGCAACAGTGCATGTTTGTTTGTTTTTATTATTTTTTGGGCTTTATTGGAAAGTGTGTGTGTGTGTGTGTGTGTGTGTATGTATGTATATATATATA